ATGCATACAGATCTACAGATAATTTTTTGATTAAACTGAATAAATGAACAGCGTACCGATGCATACAGGTAATTTTGACATACAACCACAACTGGGAACAGAATTTCCATTGGTAAGCAAGGTGGTTATTTAAGTGATTTGCACCTGTTTTTATGATCTTTTTTTTTTGCCATAGTTGTTAAGTGAATCCCTGCAGTTGTTAAGTAAATCATATGGTCTTAAGCCAATCCAGCTTCCCCCATTGGCTTTGCTTGTCCCCTCTTTTCTGTTCTGCTTCCCAAGGCAGAAACAAGCCCAGAAGTGAAGGCCTAGAAAGAAGCTGTGAGAGGAGGGAAGGAAATAGATAAGCCACTGTAAAATCTCCATTTGGAACAATCTTATAAAAATATATTATGTATACAGGTAGTCCTTGACATACAACAGTTCATTTAGTGGCCGTTCAAAGTTACAGCGGCACTGAAAAATGTGACTTATGACTGTTTTTTCATAGTTACGACCTTTGCAGCAACCCTATGATCATGTGACCAAAATTTGGACGCTTGGGAACTGGTTCATACTTATGACCGTTGCTGTGTCCCAAGGTCCTATGATTCCCTTTTGCAGCATTCCAACAAGCAAAGTCAATGGGGAAGCCAGATTGACTTAACAATCAGGTTACTAACTTACCAATGACAGTGATTCTCTTAACAACTGTGGCAAGAAAGGTCATAAAATGTGGCAAAATTCATTTAACAAATGTCTCACTTAACAACAGAAATTTTGGGCTCAGTTGTGGTCGTAAGTCAAGGAGTACCTGTAGTTTGTTAAGCTGAGGGTACTATATATATTACATATCACCTTGAAATGGAAAATAACTGTGCATGTGTATTTGGAAACTTCCTTTTTTTCACCCTTCGACACCTTCATCCATTCTTTCCCATCTAACACCCCTAAGCTTAATTTTAACGCACTTATTGAAAATTGGTAGGAGCTTAATTAAGTGAAGATCAGGTCTACACCTTCCATGAGGATACCTCTTAGGTATACCCCTAGCAGAAAAAGAAATACATTGTATATTTAGCAGGAGTGAGTCTTTCAGCCATAATTCTTGTATATTCAGATGCTGAACTAAAAATGGTCCGTAGAGCTATCTGACCCAAGTGTTCTTCTAAAATCATTTAAAGGTAAAAGTAGGGTTTAAATCCAATTATTTCCAAAAGAACAAGTGAACCTCTGACAAGAGACTATTCCTGAGCTTTCCAATTGTGTTGGATGGGTCTATACATTTTAATCAGCACCAGATGACCTGCAGAAGGACCATGCTGAACCTCTGGAATCCAGTCCATTCACTTGCTGGAAAAGCCAGGAGACACAAAATGCTTACACTATTAGAATGCAAAGCAGCCACTCGCATCAACTTTGCAAGCTGTATCACATCTGGATGTATTAGGCTGCCTGATTTCTGAAATATGTCCAACGTTATTATAAGCAGTAAGATTTTACGCTTCTGGGGTATGTCAGTGTACTGATAACCACAAGCCTCGCTGGCCTCATAATCATTTTTGAATTAGATGGTGAAGAAAAAATCATTTACATATTATCCAAGGGTTAGTGACAGCACTGTATGCTAGTTTCTCCTCCGATTTAACAATATCTGGAATCTGTAACATTTAGGATGCCAACAGCTTGCTGATGAAAAGCTGTCATTTCTCACCCTTATTTCTGCTGCCTGCCAGAAGGTGAGAGAGCTATTTTAATTTAAAAAGTTTATCTGCAGACATATTTCACTGTTTTACATGTGATGAATGGAGCCATTTGCCCTCTGGCTTCCTTTTGTTGAATTTTCTGAGTAAAAAAACCCACCTGGGACAACATGAATCAAAGGCTGGGTATAAAAATCATTCAGTCCATTAGTATAAAAGGATGAAGAGAAGACTTAGCAAATTACCTTTTTTGTAAGCAATATACTATTTTAAAAAAAGAAAAACACTGATTCCAGGATCTGCTCCCCTTCATGGAACATGTTTAAATAGAAGTTAGACTATAAGTACTGATGATGTTACCTAGTTTGGTAATGAAACATCTGCAAGAAAATTAGCACCAGGGACTCCACAGTTCAACCCAAGCAACAAATATAATATTCTCTTCTAGAGATCTTCAAACTTGGCAACTTTAAGACTTGTGAGTTTCAACTCTCAGAATTCCTCAGCCAGTATGGCTGGCTGAGGAATTCTGAGAGTTGAAGTCCACATAACTTAAAGTTGTCAAGTTTGGACATCCCTATTGTAGAGGCTAGGCTGTTATCTATTGAATGATGGTCAATCATAGGCATCAGACACAAATACCTGGAAACAGTTTTGCACATGGCTGTATATCTTTAGAGAGGAATCAAGAAGTATTTGCTATAGTTTAAATAGTTTGTAATGGGATTACATGGAATCACAGTTCCATCAGACCCAGCTATTCGTTCTATCTTATTTAATTCATCAGTTTGTTAACTTTTCTCAATTCCAGAATTGCTTCTGAAATCCAAAGTAATTGTTTAAATCCAGGCCTTTGATTCCTTCTGGGGAACACAAGAAATGTATCATGGCATCATCAGGACATGATTGACGTAACATCACGTTGATGTTTTCATGGCATCTACCTGATGTCTACTGGTTCTCAATCTTCTATGTATCAAATCCTACCAATCACTTAACTTCAAAAAAAAATCTGGTTCAGTCACACAATAGAAATAAACTCTATGATCATTTTACAAAGTTTTCTGGTTTGTCTAGGGAAGAGATTGTGGTAAATCTTTTGGTTAAGAAACAAGCTAAACTTAGTGACAATATTTGAAAGCTAATGGAGATGCTCATCCTTTGTAGGTATCTTATTCCTTTCTCTGCTTAGTTTAAACTTCTAGAGAGGCATCAAACTCTTACATGCTAATGGGTGTTTTGTTATTATGTTTATGATTTAAGGTAAACTTGAAAACATTATTGTTAGTTCAATTATCTACCTGGTATAGCACCAAGACTTCTGAATCTCACCTGTGATACACTTACTATCAACTGAAAACCACAAATCTACACTGTAATTGAAAATGTAGTACTTCGAGATTGTAACATATTAGGAGTAGTAAAAGTCACTGACTTTTATGTATTGATTATCAATTTGTTGAACTCCAACATTTTGCTTTCATTTAATTTGATACAAAAACCTAAAATGCTACAAGAAATGTTGTTATTTTTTTTTAAAAATCCAGAATGTAGTACAACAAGAAAAATGTTTAACAGATGAAAACTTAATGTGATGGGTGAGGAAATACAGCAGGTACAAATTATGAATTCAGCGTAAGCAATGTTCCCTTTCAACAAGGAAAGCAGATATGGAAGTTAAGATGTTTTCTGAACAGAAAAGCTGGCCCAGGTACAGTGGTGGGATTCAGCCACTTCGCACCAGTTCGGCAGAACCGGTAGCTAATTTTTTGTTGCCCAAAGTGGCATCCATGCAGAGAACTGGTTGTTCACATATTTGAATCCCATCACTGCCCAGGTACAATATTTCAGAAAAAAAAAACATATAACATAAAGGTAGTCCTTGGCTTACAACAGTTCAGTTAGTGGCTGTCTGAAGTTACAACGGCACTGAAAAAAGTGACTTATGACCGTTTTGACACTTATCCTGTTGCAGCATCCCCAGGATCACATGATCAAAATACATATGCCTGGCAACTCACTCCTATTTATGACGGTTGCAATGTCCCAGGTTACTTGATCACCTTTTGTGATCTAATGACAAACAAAGTCAACGGGGAAGCCAGATTCACTTAACAACAGTGTTACTAACAACTTATAAACTGGGGCAAGAAAGGTCATAAAATAGGGCAAAATTCACTTAACAACTGTCTCACTTAGCAACAGAAATTTTGGCCTCAGTTGTGGTTGTAAATTGAGGACTACCTGTATTTACAAGCTGTCAAAATGTTATAATTTTTTTAAATTAATAATTTTATCTCTCTCCTTTTGCTTTCCTCTTTGTTTCATCTTCTCTTGCCCACTGCTGCTCAATCCTCCTTTGGTCTGGAACATAGTAGAGAGGCTACAAGTTTCTGCTCCTCACTTTAAATCTCCTCTTCCTGCAGCATTTCTCTCTCTCTCTCTCTCTCTCTCTCTCTCTCTCTCTCTCTCTCTCCTTTGCACAAATTAACTTTGTTATCTCTCTCTCTCTCTCCCTCCCTCTCCCTCGCTTCTTTGCATAAATAAACTTTATCTCTCTCTTCCTCTCCCTCTCCTTCTCTCTCCCTCTCTTCTTTGCACAAATGAACTTTGCTATCTCTTTTCCTCTCCCTCTCCCTCCCTCTTCTTCTCTTCTTTGCACAAATAAACTTTGTTATCTGTTTCTCCCTCTCCCTCCCTCTCATTCTCTTCTTTGCACAAATGAACTTCGTTCTCTCTCTTTCTCTCTCTCTCCTTACTTCTTTGCAGAAGTGAACTCTGTTAATACTTTGTGACATGCAGAGGGTGACATGCAGATTCTTGTGTGTGGGCCTGCACGAAGCTTAGAGAGAACATTGAGTCTGAGGTTGCAGGAGATCTGTGAAGAATTTGCCTGCAGGTGTTCAGAAGGAAAAAGCCAGCTGTGGCAACTCCTCTCTCACCACCAGTTTGAATCATGGTGATCATACTTTCTGTTTTCTTGCCCTGTTTCTAATTATAATTGTCCTTTCCTGAAGTTGCAAGGCAAATGTACAGTTAAACTGAGGAAGAATTTGCTTTCATGAATACATGTCCAGGTGACCTGCCTATCAACTGATCACAGATACAAGCCATTTTCAGAAATGGCTGTAATTTATTTACTGTAAGAATTCAAATAACATAATTGCTATTATTTTTAAAGACTTTTATAAGCTATCCTCCCATCTTCCTCAGGATCAGATTTGGGATGGTGCTTTGGGCCATCCTAAAAATAATGACCACATTTCAAAGATGATGCAGAACTTCATCCTTTGCAGTTATCTTTCTTTCAGCTGAAACTCCAGGGGAGATATCAATTTATTTTGTACATATCACTCCCTTGACTGAGTTAAGGAAAACTCTTATTAATCAACAATGTTTTTTTTGAATCAGTAAAAGGATGCATGTTGCAGTCTAGATTTGATCTCATAATACAGTTTATTAGTCTGAATTTCCAAAGATGTTTAGACCTTTTGATTCTAGAGCTGCTGACATATCAATTTCATTTCTCAGCCTCTGAATTTCCATACTTATATCCAGCAGAGTTCTGGCAAGTTTCCGGTTCTGGAACTTCATTTCAAGCTACAAAGAAACAAAAGACAATAATTGCTTTCCACAGTTGATCACCATCCAGAACAGCTCAATTAGAAGCAGAAGTCAGCCTTGCTTCTGTTTCTAGTCAAAATTTAGTCCTGAAATGTTTGTAAGCAAACATATATCAAAGAATATTCAGGTAAACATAGGATGTATTTTTCACACAGCACAATAAACCAGGATAAGTTGTTTCAGCCTCCACATGTAAAATATGGATCAGATCCAAAATATGGATCAGATAAACTACTGCTAAATATCAATTTATATATTAGCAAAAATCTCATATCTGTAATTTTTAATTGGGCGAATTGGTGCATCAAAGGGCAATTTCTTTTTCAACCAAATGCCTCAAATAGGCTCACTTAATAGAATGCATCTAAAAACTTGGACTCATATAACATTGGACTTCTGGTGTTTGACTGTGCTATCCTGTTCAACATGTGCTACTTTCAAGGCAGATACATCTCTGAATATCTCCCTGAATTTTTAAGAACTTTACAATGATATTAGAAGCTCTGCCATTGCTTGGCATTGAGGAATCTAGTAAGAAAATATTTCTGAAATGATGACCCGATTGATCATGGGTTGTAATATTATAATACATATGAGTCTCAAAGGGTCTTGATCCACAGTTTGAGCTTCCTTGACTTCAAAGGTACTCAAACTGTGGCTCAGCACCTCTTGAGTTTGAGCACCCTTGACTTCAAAGCTAGAGGCATGGTGACACTTAAATAACATTTAATGACAATGGACAATATTCTGTACTCTGGCAGTTCAAGTCCTAGCACTGCATGGCAGAGTGATCTCCTGTCACTTGCCTCAGCTTCTACTCACCTAGCAATTCAAAAGCATGTTACATGCAAGTAGATAAAGAGGTATCACTTCAGTGGGAAAAAAAATGGTGCTCTGAAAGGCAGTATGAATTCAACCGATGCTGGACCTGCTTAAATGCAATGCCTGAATGTGATGTGACATTTGGGGTAAGAAAAGCAGAATGCCATCATATCTTGTGTGGAGCTAGTCCATTCCCTGCCATGCACCTAGACAGCATTTGAGCGTGAACAGAATGGATTGGCAATCATCCACAGTCAAATAACTACTTTGTGTTCATACTGTAGTCTCATGGCTAATGTAACTGCCATTAGCTAAGTAAATAATAATACTTATGTGTCTCAAGTGGTTTTGAGCCAGATTTTGAACCTCTTTGACTTCAAAGGTGGCTGAGAACCATTGATGGCCAACTAGCAAAATAATGAAACAACTGTGATGATTATGAAATTGTCTTTGTTTCATTCATGGAATTCTAGTATACTAGCTGGAATATTCTGGAACCAAACCGGTCTCTGAGAACAAGGAATGAAACACAAGAAAAGTAATGCATAATCTGCTTTTATACAGGCACTAAAAAAAGACGTTTAGAAGTGCTTTGATTCAAGCCTGAGTAAAAGACTAAACTTTTTTGGAAACTGGGTGATATTTCAAGGAGAAGTAAAAACATGGTCTGTCAAGGAGCTAGGTAAGATTAATAAAAAACCTTGGCAATGTCTAGATGTGTTTTAAAATGATGTCAATTAGTTGATAATGGCTTCTCTAGCATTGTCTTTGTATCTTAGAAAATGGCATCAGAAGAATGTACAGATATTCCCCAAACCAAAGATCATTTTGAGGAATTACACACCAGGAAGAAATACCATTATTATCTATCTTGTTTCACACACCTGAATATGATCATAAAAATCTAGTCTCAAAATGATTTCAGCTGAATACACCAACTTAGAACCCAGATAGTAAACTGTACGCTGCTACAAAGCAAATCCTGGGTGAAACTTAAGTGTCTTCCCCACACAGCTCACACACTTTTTAATATAGCAGCTTCTTCTGTGCGTCACATAAGTATATTTCTTTCATGATTTGATTGCACCTTTCTCTGAACTATTCCTGTTTCGGTGGATCAGACTATTGTAAGAATTCCTGTTTCTAATCACCCAAGATTCTTTGTGTTCCTTTCCTCATTATTTTTTTGTTGTTGTTGTGTTAGGTTTTCTTTTGGGGGGGGGGAGTGATCTGATAAGCAGGGATGCTGGTAACCATATCAAGCAGTGTTTCTCAACCTTGACAATTTTAAGGCATGTGGACTTCAACTCCCAGAATTCCACAGCCAGCAATGCTGGCTGTGGAATTCTGGGAGTTGAAGTCCACATGCCTTAAAATTGTCAAGGTTGAGAAACACTGATATAAAGGCTTCATATCACCACCACCACCACCACCACCACCATCACCTTGGATAAGGCAGCAAGGAGAAGAGCAAGTAACTTCATCCGTTGACCAAAAATGGCTATTACTTCATCGTTGGTGTTAATTTTCTTTCCTCAGCCCTTAGTTCTACAGAAGGGATTATTTGATTTGTACAATGCTTAGAAAAGTTTCAGAAGTTTGTAACAACAAAACAAATATAATGGACAACTCTGGGGCTACAGGTCACTCCTTTAAATTCCCAAGGGAGGGTGCCTAGCCATCTCTCTTGCCCATATCACTCACCAATTCTACGCGAAGCCAGGCTATGCCCTTTTCTATGTGGCTCGAGTGCAGGTCCTGTGTGGGCACAGCTCTTCTGCCACGGCCTGTATCTTCAACAGGTCTAGACAATGCAGGAGTAATTGCTACCCCTGTTGTCTGCCCTTGGAAAGCTTGGAGCAGCTTCTGCTTTATGTCCTCCAGCAAAAAGCTGGAGAAAGTATCTTCATTCTCTTCTGGCTTCATTGAGCAAGGGTGGGAATGGAGAGAAGTGGCCAGACGCAACCAAGCTTCAAGAAGAGATCTCTGCCAGCCTGTCTCCCACACTCTCCCTTGTGCTTATTGTTTCTTAGCCTTGAGCCACTCTGGCTTCTGTGTGCAGAGAGCCCATCCTCCCCTCCCCTCCCTGTATATCATTCCAAAGAAAGTGGGAGAGAAGTGGGAGGTAGACAGGGGTAAAGAGCAAAATTTTTCCCTCTGGGAATCAATCTCTCTTCTTTCTCTCTCCCTCCCCACCTCTTTCATTCATGCTGGATTGGAAGGAAAGGCACAATGTAGGTCTTTTCATTCCTGCAGTGCAATGATACAATTTGTTCTTCTTGGATGGATTAGTCTCATTTCCATCTTGCAGTTCAGCCAGCTCATCTGCATACTTTACCATAACTGTAGTCATAACACAGCAAGATAATTCTCAGACCAAACCTGCTCAAACCCAAGGAAAGTCCATATACAATGCCAGTAAATACAAAATTGGTTGCCTGAAACTAATTTTCAACAGTTTAGTCTTTGAACACCCAGAGAAAAAGGAAAATCCTGGGACATAAAAACTCAAGTTTCCTTATAGTGAAGCATTTCCATTGAAATTCATTTGTAAACCGCGTGCTCTTTATTTCCAAATCAACTGCATTCAGTATTAAAATTCTTGTACATATCTTGACACTTTCGCTAGCGATTTTGTCTTCAACAAGTTAGAAATCACATTAACTCAGAAGCATGTGAGGTGAGTACTTTATGCCAGAAAGTCAATGGTGACTTGAAGTCTGGACCAAATTTGTCATCATTTCCCTTAATGCAGATTCATGCACATATATATCTGTATCAAGTCAATTTGATTGGGTAACTAAACACATTGGTTGCTAAAGTGAATTTGAGAAAAATGTACATTTTTGAGCTGGCTTCTATTTGCAAAAACAGGTAAACAAGATAACATGCATGGCCTGTCTCCTCTCCATGTTTTAAGATAGACCAAATTGTATTTTTCTCCCCCTGCCCTGAGATTTACCACTTCCAAGGCCACAGATAAAAACTGCAGGAACTTGTCATACTTTGCCCATTTTCAAGGGCACCCACAATAATCTGGAAATAAAAATGTTGATGAGCACACAAGGGCAATTATTATGCAAACAACTAAGGCTGGGAATAAAAGGTCAAATCTTTTAAAAAAGGATGCAGAACTTTTTGTCATGGAAATGAACTGAAGATAATGTACCAGACTATAAACTGGAAGAAAAGAAGGGAATAAATTGTAGGAATCATCAGGAAATCTTTATTAAGGTGGGATGGATTCTTTTTTCTTCTTGCAGCTGGTGGTGGGTTTATCTTGCTTTTGCTGTGTGTGAGGGAAAAGGGACTCAGAAACATGTGCAAACAGTTTCTACTAAATGGCTTTTTAAAAAAATAGGCTAGACAAAGCAAACATTGGATCACACCTGTTATGTCCCGAGCCTTGCAAACGGCTCGGGCGTTTGCAGGCAGTCCCGGGCAGGTGTAAAGCTGCCCGGGACCAGACAGGCTGTCGCCAGCGCCGTGCGCATGCGCGGGTGCTGGCGCGGGAAAAGTAACCCATTTACCCGGGAGTTGCCTATATAAGAGGCTGCGAGGCATTTGGGCGAAGCTGAAGCCATCTTCCTGTAAGCTGAACGCTGAATAAATGAAACTGAGAACTCCAGCTGCTTCTCGTGTCTGTTTTCCCGCCACGGACTCAACACTGGCGACGAAGGTGGGATGCCTTGCACTACCTGGAAAGGAAGAAGTGTAAGCTTACCCAAGGAGTCCTGAGCGGCGAAAGAGGAACGGCGTCGACTCGGCAGCTGCCCGCCATTCCGGTGCGCATTCGGGGGTAGGCTGGCTGATAGACCCGTCTCCTGAAGATCCGAAGATGGCGAAAATCGGAAGGCTTTCGGAATTCGACGTCTCACATCCAGAGCGGTGGGAGTCCTACGTATCCAGAATGGAGAACTACTTCAAGGCAAACCAAGTGAGGGAAGATAGCTTGAAGGCGGCCACCCTGCTTTGCGTTTGCGGCCAAGACGCCTTCGAAATCGCAGAAAACCTTGCAGCACCTGTTCCAGTAGAGTCTGTAAGCTACGCAGACCTGAAGAAGCTGCTGAAGGAGCACTTCAACCCCAAGGTGTCCGTTATCTCATGGCGCCACATCTTCGAACAGAGGGATCAACGGTCCGGTGAGTCAGCCAAGGAATACATCGCCGCGTTACGGAAGGCCGCCAAGCCCTGCGAGTTCAAGGACCTCGAGGAACGACTGAGGGACCGATTCGTGTGCGGGTTAAGGCATCGAGAGCTACAAAAGAGACTTTTCGCAAAGGAAGAATTATCCTTCCAAGACGCCTTAAGGGAAGTCACCGCAGAAGAAGCAGCAGGCGGCGCCGTCAAAAACATGCGGCCGATCAGAAACAGTGCAGAGGGTGCGTCCGTGCACCAGGAAGACGTCCGACGAAACTCCGAGGAGGATCCGGACGAGGAAGTCGACCGTCTACACCCCGCGAAGGAAGAGAACCAGAAGGGAAGCTCTTCGGCTCCGCTCAAGTGCATCGGCTGTGGAGGTCGCCACAGGAGAACCGACTGCAAGTTCCGCTCCGCTACCTGCTGGGCATGCGGTAAACAAGGGCACATTGCAGCTGTGTGCCTGGGCCGACGAAAGGCACAACCCCAAGAAGAACGCCTGAAGGGTACCAGATTCCCCAGCCAGAATAGGGTAGGTTTTTGCGCTTCGCGAAGAAGCATCTGTAGAACAGGCACACACAAGCCCATGAAGAAAAAGCTGTCACTCAACGTGAAGCTACAAGGGGTTCCATTATCTATGGAACTAGACACAGGGTCTGCCCTGTCCATCATTTCATTGCATACATTTAGGAAGATTTGTTCCAGAAGTGGGTCTAAGGCCAAGTTAAGGCCTTCTGATATTGTATTAACAGATTTTCAGAACTCAAGAGTGTGTGTTAAGGGGGAGGCCACCCTTAACGTGCAATACAAGAGTTTTGAAGGTCCACTAGACTTATTAGTAGTAGGGGGTGAACGAACGAGTCTCATAGGACTCGATTGGTTTGAGGCCCTGGGGATACACGTCACAGGACTCAATAGCTTACAAACACTCGACCTACAGGAAGTCTGCAAAGAATTTGCAGATGTTTTCAGCCCCCAGCTGGGCACATTCAAAGGACCACCTGTGTCCTTAAAGCTAGACCCCACTGTCACTCCCATTAGGATTAAAGCAAGAAGGGTCCCTTTTGCTTTAAAAAGTAAGATTGACACTGAACTAGACAAACTAATCCAACAGGGAATCCTAGAACCTGTTGATTCCAGCCCGTGGGAGACCCCCATTGTCACGCCTCTAAAGGCAAATGGGGACATTCGCATTTGTGCTGATTACAAATGCACACTCAATAAGGCATTGCAGCAACATGCCTATCCTGTTCCTGTGGTCAGTCACATCCTGGCCTCTCTCAAGGGGGGGCGTGTTTTTGCAAAGCTTGACCTAGCTCAAGCATATCAACAGCTGCCTGTTGATGATGATGCTGCCATAGCTCAGACCATTGTGACCCACAGGGGAGCCTTTAAAGTAAAAAGGCTACAGTTTGGAGTAAATGTCGCTCCTGGGATTTTCCAAAGCGTAATGGAAAACACACTACGAGGTATACCAGGGGTCTGCCCCTACTTTGACGATGTCTTGATTGCAGGAGACTCCACACACATTCTAGCTGAAAGGCTTAGGGCTGTCCTGTTAAGATTCAGGAAATCAGGCCTCAAGCTCAGAAAAGACAAATGCCAGATTGGGGTGCCTTCTACTGAATTTCTGGGATTCAAAATTGATGCTGCTGGGATTCATCCTGCTGAATCCAAACTAACTGCTATTTTAGAAGCACCCAGGCCAAAGTCTAAGGCCGAACTTCAGGCCTTCTTAGGCCTCCTGAATTTCTACAATTCTTTTCTTCCACATAAGGCTAGTGTAGCTGAGCCTCTTCACAGGCTACTAGACAAACATGCTGTGTGGCTGTGGTCACAAGCACATGAGGCTTGCTTTAAAGAAGTCAAGGCCTTGCTCACTTCTAACAGTGTTCTTGCACATTTCAACGAGTCTCTCCCTGTGTGCATCGCTTGTGATGCGTCCCCCTACGGGGTTGGAGCTGTCCTGAGTCACCTCAGGTCTGATGGAACTCAGGTTCCTATTGCATACTACTCCAGAACACTGTCTTCTGCCGAGCGCAACTACGCTCAGATAGACAGGGAGGCTCTGGCTGTTGTTGCTGGAATTAAAAAATTCCACGATTTTCTATATGGCAGGCATTTCACGGTCTTCACTGACCATAAGCCTCTGCTGGGACTGTTTACCACACGTAAGCAGACTCCCCACATCATTTCCCCTAGAATGCTTAGGTGGTCTATTTTCTTGTCTGCATATGATTTTTCATTACTCCACAAGCCTGGGAAAGAAATGGGCCATGCTGATGGCCTCAGTAGATTGCCTCTGCCAGTAGTAGAAGCTGACCCCGCGCCAGCTGTCAACATTCTATCAATCCAAGCCTTGCCCGAGCTCCCTCTTAGTGCCAGGGATGTTACCGCTGAAACAGGTACAGATCACACACTTTCACGTGTCCGCTCCTGGGTCCTGTCCGGGTGGCCTGAGCACTGCCCTAGTCCTGAGTTTCAGAGTTTCTGGTCCAAAAGGAACGAACTGTCCCTTTCTCAGGGTTGTCTGCTTTGGGGAAACAGAGTTGTCATTCCCACCTCAATGAGGACTAGGGTCTTAGAATCCCTCCACGAGGGTCATCCTGGCATTGTTCGTATGAAGGCTCTTGCACGAGCCACTTGTGGTGGCCTGGTTTAGATAAAGATATTGAGGCTAAGGTACACGCATGCCACCTGTGCCAACGATCTCGCCCAGAGATGCCCCAAGCTCCTGTGCATAGATGGGAGGAAACACAGTCCCCATGGTCTAGGGTGCACATTGACTACGCTGGGCCCTTTCAGGGCCAGTTCTTCTTGGTCCTTGTTGACAGCCATTCAAAATGGCTTGAGGTTGTGCCTGTCTCATCCACCACCACTGCAAA